TTTTGGTTGAGTTCTGTCTCCAAATTACCAATATAGCTGCGCTCTTTGAGAATAAACCAGTTCATGAGGTCCTCAACAATGGACGTGGCCAAGACATTTTCAGCTGAAGGAATCCATCTATCAAAAGATTTTGCAACATTGGAATAATTTTGTTTTGGATAAAGGTTTCCCACCGCACCCAGAATAGCACAAATACCAACACCCATCATCTCTTTACTTCATTTGTTGTCCTTGCCAGAAGCCTTTTGTGACAGTTTTTTAAACCTGACCAGGCAGAAAATTAAAAAACTGCAGAGGCAGTTTGGGTAAAAGCTTAAAGCAAGGCTCTGAGCACAGTTCCTACATTTTAGCCACAAACTTACAAATGAATTTATTTTTTTCTAGCGCTATGTATATTTAATTGTAGAAAGGAACAGATTAAACAAAAGCCACCAAAAGCAAAATCAAATCAGACTGCTCAGCAACATGGTGGGCAAATCAGGTTCCAGCAAAGGAGCATTCAAGACCTTGCTCCACATCAGGAAGAGATTAAATTTGAAAATTGGTCTCCCACCTTACAGACGTGTTTCCTGAAAAGTCTCCTGCTTGGCCATTTTTGTGGGAGGCTGGAGCAATTTGCCACATTGTTAGGACAGGTAGGCAGGGGAGTGCCTGATTTGGGAGAGTCACTGAAGCTTACGTGGCTGTCAGCAGGTTTGTCATATACGCAGTAACGTACACCTCCAGGGGTTGAACTTTAGGTGTACAGCAGGTTTTTCTGGCAAAAACTGTTCCCATGACTATTAGTTGCCTGCATGACCAGGCAACAACTAAACATTGGTTTTGTGCGTCTATTTTTTGGAAAAAAAAATGTGGCACCAAAGTCCTGTAATGGATCAGACTTTTTAATAGTTCTTTTTGGTCAATGCAGTGCTGTGATACTGTAATGTCAAGTAGCAAACCAGAAGGTATATTAACTAAGGATGTTTAAAATCAACAGAAAGATGGCCTGGACTTTTCTTCTTCCTTCTGTTTTCAATTAAAAGCCCAGCTCTTATCATTTAGCAGATTTGCTAAATATGTGTTTATATGTATTAGAGTCTTTCTCTCTGTCTTTCTTACTTGGTGGTGTCACTCTTTCTTAACCCAATTATCCACACTTGGGGGCCCTGTGTATTATTTCTATTAGGAAAACAAATTGATGATGAAGTAAAATATCTTTCATTCAGGCCCTTGTTTATTTACAATGACTGCTGGAATTCTGTCTCCTCGAACCCAGGAAGACTCAAACAGCAGAAGATACTCTTTCCCTCAAGCTTTAAATAATTTTTCAGCCAAAGTTTAGGCTAAAAATCTTCCTTTCTAGGATTTTCGCAATGCCATATTCTCAGTGCTTGTCCAGCACGTACCTGGTGACCCCTTACTGATTTCTTTCAAGTGCATTTTTTTGTTGCAATTGGTGGTGGTGGTGGTGGTGCTACAGCTATTCAGAAAAGTTACTGAATGTGTCTGTCTGCATATGCCCTGTCTGCACGTGCCTTTGGGAAGGCAGGATAGTTAGTTTTAATTTCAGGAGATGTAATGGTGCTTAACAGTTTATTATAACAATTTTAAATTATGGATGGCAGTTATATCCTCAGTGTCAGAGGTTTAAACCAATCCAGAATAACAAAAAAGGAGAAAAGGGTCTCCCCCAAGCTGATTAGGACAACAGATCCAGGCAATTACATTTAATTATATACACAAAATTAGTGGATAGGTCAAAATATCATTTATCAAAGTCACAACGCTTTTACGTGGTCACAAACCCCCCAGCCATAAACCAATACAAAGGGCACAGGCACAGAGTGTAAAGGGTTTATTCACTTGCTGATAAATTAATTGATAAAAAAAATCAATTTCAATGAGGCCTATCTCTTTTTGTATTAGTATTTATTTTATTGAATCTAAAACCTGCATTACAATATAATAAGGTCTTCAGTCTGACAAAGACCGAATATGATCAAGTGCTTTCTGAAAAGTACGATGAATACTCAAAATGAAAGATGGAAGGTGATGTTTGATCTATATTCTATTTGAAGCCCAGCAGATGTCCAATGCTGACGGAAAGGGGCAGCTACTGTACTTTCCAATGATTGATGGGAACCTCATAAATATCTTCACGCCTTTAGAATTTTTCAGTTTCTTGTGTGCAACCATTAATGGCTATAACAGTAAACCGTTTCTGCTGCTTTACAATTAAATTGCACTTGTGCCTGTACACAGAATAAATGGCTTGGTATGACACATATTCTTTATTAGATGATGATGGCGAAGCTGTGCCTTGATGATATAGTCTATGTCTTGGCCTCCAGAGGTCTAAAGAGGATGGAAGTCCATCTAGCAAGACAAATGGGATGTGAGTATTACAAAAATCCAGATTTGACATGTAGACTATCAAGTTCTAATTTTTTTTTCCTTCCCCTCTCTTCAAAGTCTTTTGAATGACCAGACTATAGGTGAGGCTCATTATTCCGTATCAAAAATGTCAGATGTTAAGGCATCCTGGTGCATAAACCCTGAAAAAACTCACATCTAGTCTGTGTATCCAGCTGCACAGTGGCATTTTACCTCACACAGTTTTGCTAGGAAAAAAGTCTAGTGCCTGATACTTGAGTGCAGAAGTCCACTTCCCAGCATTGCGAAGAAAAACTCATAAAGATCAACCAATATAGAGTTTTAACAATTTTTGCATATCACTGTGTGTAAGTAACAGAGTACCTATAGCATCCTGCAGGACAGGTTAGTTTCAAAGTCTTTAGGGAAACTGTAACTAAAACTGAGAGAGTACAATAAGAAGCAGTGTGTTACTTGCACGGCATTGTTTCTCTTGGGCCCATGAAGTTTGGAAGCATTTATATAGCTGGTCTGAAGCCAGCTGGATTCTGATGAATTTTAACCTCAGCCTCTCAGTTTCTGAAAATAAAAATACAGAAAACCTTTGCAAGCTGGTACAGCAGTCCTGTGAAGACTGGAAGCTGGTCAATCCTGCCGTTAGCTCAATGTACCAAATTATACTAAATAAATGAAACATTGTCCTGATCAGCTTGCATAAAAAATTCAGGCCAGAAGATTTTGATACAAATACAACGAAGAAGTATGTATTTGATGCCTAGTCTTGCCGGAAACAGAAATGAGTAGTTACAAGCTTTTGAATTCTACTTCATAACGAGAAGTCTCATGTGGCTGGTCTGAATCCACAATAAAATTCCCGTCCAATACCTCCAGCCATATTCACGCATTCTGGACTTTTGCGGAGCTCATGTGTGAACACCCATCCTTTTCGCTTTGCTGTGTTTCAGCAGGAGCAGGCTGGCTTAGCATCCTCTCGCCAGCTACCAACGGGTGGAGGCGGCAGGGGACGGGGCCCCCCTCGACATTTTCTGGGCGGCAGCTTTTGCAGGACCGAGGCCAGCTTCTGGCAGGAGGCAGAGCTCCCAGCCAACCCTCGCCGCCCGCAGGACTCGAGGCACCGCCCGGGGAGCTG